ATGATAATATTAATGGAAATAACGTTATTGACATATATAGGAAGTATTTTGCATTAAGATCTGCAAAAACAACACTTCCAGATTTTTCGTAAATTATATTAAAGGAATGTGCACAGTGCAAGCAGTTGGAAAAAATACATTTTCCCAAATACCCCGTAAAGTTGCCGAGTATCTTAAACTGCCGGAACCTTCTAGGATTACTGGACACAGTTTCAGAAAAACATCCGCATCGCTTCTGATAGAAGCTGGAGGGGATATTATAAGTTTGAAGAAGCTTCCAGAAATTTTATCTGCCTATAGCGCAGACCTTGTTGCAATTAGAGAAGCATTTAAATTACGTTTAAATATTGACAAACCAAATTTTGTTACCTTTACTGATTGTAAAAGTGCCGTAGAAAACTACAAAATGTATCACCAAAATCCGATCTAAACCATATTGTTGCAGAAAGACAATGCTTCAAAAATATATATGTACCTTGGATTAAGGTACATATGTTGGAATTACTGTAAATGAAAAAGTGGATATACCTGCTAAGGAAGCCACTTCAAACGGCCTATATTTAAACTTCAAAATTACTAAAACCGATTTTCATAATATATTAGAAATAAAAATGAAAAAAACGTTGGCAAGAATCATTTGAAAAATGCGAAAAGGGACAATTCTACAAAAATATCCAACAGACTATTCTCACATACCCATGATTTAGCAATGATATTAAGAGAAGTTACATCCAAACCCTATGTCGTATAAGAAGTAATCATGAACTGTACCCTAAATATAAAACCAAAACAGGTCTATCCGATAATCAAAACTGCATTTGTGACGAAATAGCTGACCTGCAACACATCATTTTATGGTGTGTTCTAGAACATGCAAATATTGACATCATATATAAAAAATTAGTGGATGATAACATCCCACTAATATAAGTGCTGTGATTATACGCCCTTCTCATATGATGCCCTCGATATTTTGGCAGATTTTTTACTGAGATTTTTTTTACACATTTTGGGAGTTGCGTATCAAATAATTCTTTGGAAAAGTTCGACTGCGATAAATTCAGAAATTTCCAGTCCAATTAATTTTGGTTGACACTTGAAGAATGTATTTATTCTTAAGTTAATAACTATTAATAAGTGTTCGGTCCATTGCAACTTCCGAAAATGTAGAGTGTAGACTCAAAAAATGTACCGGGACTGTAGTTGTAGCAAAGCTGGGTTGGAATATATAATAGGTTGCTTATTGTGAGGGTAGGTGTTTGCATAATGTATGTATGTATATTACTTCTATATTTTTATATTTTATGCATACGAAGGAAATTTAAGTTCATTTCGTTGAACGTTCTTTTCTGTACCTTATCAATATTTTAAGTTATACAGGGTGACTTACGTAGGCCGTGCATTAGAAGTTTTTCAACTTGCAGTTGGATTAGAAACTTGAAATTTGGTATGCTGTCATAATCGATCATGTCCGTTCTACCTAAAATATTTTTAGTCTTCCAGCTATACAGGACGTGCCAAAAGTCGGTACCAACTTTCTTATTTTAAATGGAAACCTACATTTTTTTCACATGGTTCGATTGGCCTACTAATTCTAAGTTTAGACAACCTAAGTTATGTTAACTTAATTTTTGACATGTCGATTTTTCTGAAAAAAATTACCGCCATAGTAGTTTACGAACAAATCTGTATCTCGCAAACCGTTCAAAATTAGGAAACCAAATTGGAGCAGTTAGCTGGAAGTCCAGGCTAACTCCTGATGTCCCATTGATGGTCCCATTTTGTACCATATGGGCGCAGGCGATTTTTTTTAAATGGCATCTACTATTATTTTTTTGACACCATTCGAAAGAAAACTGAATTTTAGGGTGAGTTACTTAAGCATTCCCTATACCTAACCTCAACCTCTATCAAGTTGTTCAATAAAAATCAAGAAATGCCGAGATAATCCTTGCTTTTTCAAGTATGCCATGGAAACAAAAGACAACTGTAATTAAGAAGGTGATATTTTGTCAAAATAAAAAGAGTTGTGCTAATTAAATAAATTCCCGACTATGAACAGTCAAACACAGAATTTAAACAATCGCCATGACAGATATTGCGCCCACAATTTTTTTAATACACAGCGTGTTAAAAAAGTAAAGGATATACGACAACCACGGATAGGAAATTCAATTTTGAGTAAAAAAACGTCTAATGAACGAGTATTCGGCAGAGCTTCCAAAGGGCGCTATGGCATTTCAAAGATGGCTTCCAAAAACGTGTTTCTACGTTACATCTCCGGAACCATTAAGTTAACCATCCAAGTATGCCATGCATTTAACTTTTTACAAAAAAATAATGTTTGCATTTCTAGAAAAAAAATAATAAAATAATTATTGGGTATTACAAAAGCACTATTTCAAACTTAACATGATAATAATATTAAATACCTATAAAACTTTATATTTTCTACTGTCATTCTTATCTGAATCTGCTAGCATAAAAGTTTTAGGTATGTAATGAATCAAAAATAACACTTCCAGTGTATTTTATAAGAAAAACTATTAAAACAACTACTTAGTCTGGGAGCAAGAGCTGGAAAAGCAAGGAAAATTTTCAGTTAAGAAAATATTTTCTCGTTACAATACAAAAAAAAACGAAATCCCCTAGGTCGATATTTATTTCATTGTTCTGAATTCGTTTGGGGGATTGTCCGCATAAAAATTATTCATAAAAATATTTAAATTAGATAATTCAAAATATGAACATTTGTCATTTATTTTGACATTTGAAACTGAAAGACAATATCTAGATTAATTACTGTAACTTCGGTAATCATGGTGATATTCATGACATCTAACATAACCTAAATAGGCCAATTTTTTCATGCATTAAAAAAATCTGTTTTGTATTTATACATTTCTAGAAAAAAAATAAACAAATAATTATTGGGTACAAAAGCACTTTTTCAAACCTAATATAATAGTAATAATAATAAATACCTATAGAACTCTATATTTTCTACTGTCACTCTTATCTGAATGTATTAGTATAAAATTTTTAGGTATATAATGGATCAAAAAGCAATAACATGTCCAGATTTTTTTAAATGTTTGCATGTTGTCAACGAAACAAATCTTATTTATTTACAACCGTCAAAGTTATGATATTTGACACTTGTAATAGACACTAACTACCCAAATGTCGTTGAGTCATGACGGCAACAAAAGATGGTTGAAAACGATTTCATAAGGTGCGTCCACATTGCTCGTGAACAGCAAGCGCAAGAAACACTGCGAGCAGCACGAGCAAAACCATATTTGCGGCGTTCGCAACGTGTTTGTGATCACCTTAAACGCCTATTTCCCCAGTTCGGCCGAGTCGGTACATCAAGGGATGCTTCGTGCGCACGCAAGCACAATTCAGGCCGCTAATAACAATATTTCGTTATCATTCATGCTCTAACCGCACAAACGCAAACATTGAACTACAATGTGGACACCCTTGTTTGCGAACAGAATCATCTTGACAAACAGAAACGAATGCAAGAAGCAATGCAACAAATTCAACGCAAGCGCGATCACAAGCATGAGCGTGAACAAGATCACTTGCAATGTGGACGTACCTTTAGAGACATACGTCGTATGTGCAAAAATCTTCATCAGGTATTGCCGTAATGTCATCAAAGATACAAAATCACGAGTTAAAAAGTACCAACTGATTTCGTAGTTTTTAACCATTTATGAAGGCTCTGTAGCGTAAGACCTAATGCAAATGTTGAAGATGAAGAGGAAGTAATCATTGTTGAGGCCGAAAATAACCATCAGATTAGTGTTCGCCAAATTTCGCTACATACCAGAAATACTAAAAGTTGAGTATGATCTTTTGAAGAGCCATGGACACTATGGTTCTACAACAATTTTCTCCTGAAATGGGTTTGTAGAACAGAAATTATTAGAGGCCCGTTTTCAGAAGCTATTTTCACACATCAACCATCATAGGAAGCTTTTCCGGACACTAGTTCGTTAGACATTTTTTTTATTCAAAATTGGATTTCCTTTCAGTGGTTGTAGTATAGCCGTCAAGTTTGCGACACCTTGTATACACACATACCGGGCCATCAAAAGAAACTGCCACTATTAAAACTTTTTTTAAAAAAAACAACCAACTTCTAATTCTTTCAGCGCAGAGATAATTTGTTTTATTAATTTATAGGATTGTGTGTTAATAAAACCCAAAAAAAATTGCAAAAAAAACATAATAAGATGCCACAAGTAAATAATTATAAGCAAAATACATGAAGCATTAACAAAAACCATTGTTAAAATTTGAGAAACAATGGAGTGGAAATTAAAAAATGAGGAATCTGATAGACAGAAGTCTGTTTTATAAATCATTGCTCTTAAAATATGAGCATTGTTCGAAGGATACCTTCCAAATAGGAAAAAATATGTTTTTCGACGAGTGTTCATTATAGGGTGAAGCGCTGTTAGTAATTTTCGCCTTGTAACATTTTCAAAACTATTAGTCCACAGAAGCCTTTCAGTTCTTATCGACTTAAGATTAACAGGTCGTTAACTGGGGCCAGGGACCGGGTAACGTCCTAGTAATCACATGCCGTCCAAGTAATAAGCTCTGAGTACATATCGTATTAAAAGTCACCCACGGGGTGAATAAAAATAATGGTATCTGTTGATAGGTTAGAAAATATTTCCCTTCTACATTAATACGTAGTGTGTCCAAATTTCCTAGGAAGAGGCACCTACCCTATAATTATAGTATACATTACTTTTTATTATATTATATTTTATATTATTTTTAATAATACAAAGTATAAAAGATATATCTTTATAGGATAACGTATACATTAAAGATTATAGATCACAGGTAATAAACCCTCTGTATCGCTGAAGATATATCAAGATACCTTGTGCGGGAGGGGGATACACATTTAGAGACAATGAACACACACCCCATGTCCAATTATGCTAGGATTATTTTCTGGCAAAAAAAAATGCTAGCTTCTCGACCAGGGATTGAACCTAGGACTCCAGTAGGAGAGGCAAGTATTTTTACCACTCGACCATAAAGCCACATAGCCACATGGGTTGCATTATCTTTGGTGTTTAATCTTAGCATACACATGTATGTATTATTTAAGAACTAAAGAAGACTAATACGTATTTTTATATTGCTTTGTGACCAGTCTGTGGTATAAGATATTTACATAAATAATTGTTTATGCAACAGGTATAGGTTAGGTCAGGTTAGGTTTCTTGTGAGTGGGTCCCTGTGGACCCTCCACTGCGGCCATCAGCAGGCCTATTGTGGCTCACACCTAGTTATATTCACCCAATAAGTTCAGTTTCTTAATGAAACTGATAACTTTCTTGGGTGATAATGTGTCCAGATCCTCTGGCAACAGTTGCCCTTTGCCAAATATAAAGAATGAAATCCTCTCCACAGCGGGACAGGTGCATAAGATGTGGTCTGCCTTCTCATCATCCTCCAGGCATAGACGGCACTCGGCGTTTTCCGCTAGGCCGAGTTTATGCAGATGATAATTTAGTCAACAGTGACCGGTATATAGTCCTGTTAGAGTTTTCAGGTTTATCCTGTTTAACTCGAAAAGTTTATTAGCTCTTGATTTCAAAGAGTATTTTATAAACGCCTTCGAATGAACTAATCCTGGTAACTTTTGCCAATACTAGAGAATTTTCCTTTCAGCCCAGGTTGAGATAGCTATCTTAGCAGTACTTGAAGATATACCAAGTATCGGTTTTGTTCCGATGATTGGTATCCCGTTCCTTCTCTGGCCAAGGAGTCGGCTATTTCGTTACCTTCCATACCAGAGTGGCTAAGTATCCAGATCAGAGTCACTTTGTGACACATGATTTAGAGCCTTCTGACAATTCCATACCGATTTGGAGTTACACCGGTAGGAACCAAGAGCTTTTATAGCTGCTTGGTTATCTGAGAAAATTTTTATCGATCTACGTGTAAGATGCATATATTCCAACCTTCGCACACACAATTCAATGGCATGAATCTCAGCCTAAAAACAGTTGCATGAGTACCTAGGTTTGAGGATATCCTCACCCTTGGTCTGTAGCTATGTACTCCGGCTCCTGTTTCCTCGGGAGTTTTGGAGCCGTCTGTAAACCAACAACTGTCTGCCCTCAGTAGGTCGGCTTTATTCCGATCCCACTCATCTCCTTCCGGAGAAAGAAAGTTGAAGGTCAGCTCGTAGTTGGTCATGGTAGGCAAAGTATCCGAGGGCATTCCCAGGATGCTGTGATTCTCTATGTCATTCAGTAACCTGTTCCGCTCCATGATACTAGTCTGCGGCATATTAATGACCGCTTGTTGCAGTCTGTATGTTGCCCACCTGGCATCTCTCTCCAAATATATATGAAGAGGAGGTAAATCCAGGAGGATTTCTATTGCAGCTGACGGTGTGGTGCTAATTGCTCCCATTACCGTCATGCATGCTAATCTCTGCAGTCCAGAGAGATTGGCTTTGGTCGTCCGTTGTGATCCTTTCGGCCACCAAACAATAAAAAAATATATATGCAAGTAGTTTTCCCCACAAACATTTTTAATTCCGCCAAGGTACCTTAGATTAACTCGAACCATTCAGTGGTCTCTTATTAGTATAACTTTTCATTTTTCCAGATATCAAACCAAACAGTGGCGTAAAAGTAAAGAAGAAAAAAGACAAGAGAACTAAATCTGTTGAAAACAAAGAAGCAAAAAATAAGCGAAAGCAATAGATAGGAGGCCTATGTCTGAACCTTGATCCCCCCTTGGTATACGGCAAAGGTACGTGAACAACTTTTATCGATCTATCCATGGTTCACTGATTCTAGTTTTCTGAATGAATAGAAATTCCTAACCTGGTTTATGTCGTGGAATTGTAACTTGATTAAAAATAAAAAATACTGCTTTATATTGTTATAACCCGCTGGTGCGACCAGGTACCAGCTTAAAACCGCTTCAAGAATATTAAAAAAATATTAAATACTTGGTTAGGAGCTTGAAACACAGACTTTTGTATGAAGCTGCATTTTATTATGAAAATATTTGATGTGGCCAGCACATAACTTTCTTATATATCAGTATATATCATCCTGATAAAAAAAAATCATTCTATTTAATTCTTCACCTACCTCAATTAAATTTTAATAGAGTACCTTGAATCGTTCCACTAACATTTTTAAATAATTAATTATCAGAGTCATATTCGATACTGCCAATAATAAATTCATGTAATATATTTTAATAATTTCTTCTTATTGACAGTGACATTTTTGTAACTAAATTAGACATTTCAATTGTCAAACTGTTACATTTATCCTAATCCCATTTTATGAGGTGCAATGTGTAAAAAAATTTCAGTTTACATCAGCTTTATTTAAGTACTTGGAAAATATATTTTATTGGCTTGATGTGGTAGACATGATTTATAATCTTTCATCAAGAATATATTTTTTTGGAAAGGCAAATACAAAAAAGTTTGGGTCCTGTGGACCTCCTTTCAGCTGGCCAATTTTGCTCATCACAGAATTTATAATTTTTTTTTTTGGCCTTTAGAATAAATACCAAATTTGAAAGCTTTATCTTAAAAACTGTGGCTGCTATCGCGATACTACATATGATTTTCATTATAATTCGTCAAGATTTGTCCAGAAATGTAATAAAATTTTTTCATTTCTTTTCCGAAATTGTACCTTTTTTCTTCTTTCATTCATTATGTCTCTTCTGGTGGTACCACATTCACCAAATTTAATGTGTCACCTAAAATGTTGAAAATCATAATAGCCAAATTTGGGAAATCTCCCATTAGTATTTTTTGAGTTATCACGGCCACACCACACCACACCACACCACACCACACCACACCACACCCACACCGACACCCACACCCACACACACACGAACCGACAGACATCATTCGGAAAAAAGTCATAATGGATTCAGGAGGGTTCAAAACGCATATATCAATCAAAATCTCGAGGCCGAAAAAAAATCACGATTACTATATTATCAGAAAGTAAAAAAGGACAAAAAATTAACCTTTTTAATGAGAATAATAAAGGAAATACTGTATTAGGACATTAATTCTGTTTCTGTGTTGATTTTATGATTTCATTTAAATAAAATTCAATTATAAAATAAAACTATAAATTCATATCACCTAAAAAACCACATATTATTGAGCCTGGTGATATGCGAAACAGAATTTAGTGTCAATTTGTCAGGCTGCAACAGCTCACCCTGAACGGGCATCAGTGACAGTCGCAAGCCAAATGTTTTCCAATTTAATTATTTCGAGATTAGGGGACATAAATTGGCCAGCAAAAACACCCATCTTACAGCTTGTGATTATTTTTTGTGCGAGTACTTAAAGTCAATCAACTAGAAACATTAGTACGTCAAAAAATTATTTAAAAAATATTAATTTTAACACTCAAAAACAGTGCTCTTTCGAGATAAAGTTAATATAATAGCAAACTGGCTGTTTTCGATATTCTGTCGCGATTCAAGGATTCATTCAGAAAATCTACCTTACCTTATACATCCCATATTCACGTACACCTTGTGTGGTATAGTGTTGTTCAAATATTTTGGAAAAATAAATTGAATTAAACTGAAATCTGATCGACGCTGTCACAATACACAACTTTGTTTGCCACCTGACCTAGAGTTACTCTATACTACACAAAATTTCTGTCACATTTTGAATTTTCAGGAAAATCTCTGCAAACAACGCACATCCTTGCCACAATTCTCGCCTGGTCGGCGGGTAATCGTCAAAACGATTCAATCTCTGAGCTACTTCTGTCGGTTCGTCGGCGAGGCCATCAAGCTGAAGCACGACCAAGAGTACGACCTTCTGATTGTCGACTACGACACTTTGATGGAGAATACAGAGGCGGATGATGAAACGGGTTGGAATTGTAGCGTCCACCCCAGCGTGTTTTTTCTTTTGGGTAAGAACGAATAATGTTATATATACGGTGCTTTTGAAATACATGTACATATATTCAAATCTGTAAGTGCTTATGAAAATGTGAAACAAATTCCACAATTGAAATAGAAAATTCAAAAAAATTAAAATAATTTTGGACCCCCCCCCGATCTCGGCGTTCGGGTTGCTAGGAATGTAGAGAATGTAGAGATTTACTGAACCTACAATGTTGCCAGATCTGCATGAAATCATGAAAAATAAATTAAACTCTTCACTTCACTTCATCACAGCATCACGTCATTTAATAATTAATTAAAGTTTTTAATAAAGAAAGGCACAATGTTTGTCAGATCAATGTTCCAAAAATTTGTAACACAAACTCAATTAGAAATCCAAATACACAAACCGCTGGAGCACAACATTTTCCAAAGATAACATGATTTTACTTAGAGCACGCGCCACAGTAGTAAATACGGTCATAGTGAAACGTAAAGCGTATGGCAACGACTCGTACCAGTTACGAATTGGTCAAGGGCTTCGAACTGAAGCGATGCGATGCATTTCAAAAACGTTCTGTAAAGGATAATTAAAGCTATGTGTATGTATGTAATAATGTTCTAAATGAGTCATTCGAAACACTGTATAAGTATTCAAATCAAGTTACGAAGCAACTATTTTTTGACGAATATGGTAGGATTAAAGTGTAGTCCAAAATATAGTCTCCCAGATATTATAAAAAAAGAAACAAAAATCTTGTACGAATAATAATGTGAAATTTGGGGATTATTGCAAAATTTTATATAAATTTGTACATCTACGTTAGGGATGCATGAAGCCAAAAATCACATCACATTCACAAACAACGGGGAATACAAATCACAAATTCAAATAATATTTGGACTATAATATCCCAAGGCCTCGTTGTTTGACCAACATTGCGCCATTGCGGTTTTTCTGGATATTTTGCTATAACACACCCATTAAAATCGATTGTATAGTTTTTAAAACATGTCTCGCAAAGAAATCGTTGTGTACTGCAGTAGGTAAATCCCCATCTTAAAGTCATAGTTAATAATTATTTATCACTTTTGAACTAGAAAATACAGATAAAAATGAGAAATA